TTAAATGAGAGGGTAACAAAACAAAGTTTGAAATTTTACTACTTAGAAATCTAGTTTACCTATACAATGAAGCCGCAAAGAAGGCATTTTATCATTTAAGTGACTTATCCAAAGTCACCCCGTTCATAAGGAGTGAATATGACAGCTGAACGCAGGCCTCCAGGCTCTGACCTGTGGAGATGCCATGCAAGTGTGTACTAGACAGGCATGTCCTAAAGGGACAAAGATCTTCAGGGACTGTGCGTGTGAGGGTCCAAAGGGTGCAACTCAAATACCAGGGTTTTTCTCAGTCTTGCAGGATCCCTGATTTGTATGATGTCACTTTTCCACTTCAGGAGGGGCCACTTTCAGTCATCTTTACCCATTTTACTTTGAAAAGTCACACAGCCATATATTTTTAAGTCACCTGGGAAACTGTGTAGGCCAGAAATCACGTTGAAAGAATTGGACGGGGGCAGCCCCACCTCAAGCCTTTTAGCGAGGGCAAGCTTTTAACTTAAAAACCTGGGGGTGGGGAGTGGGGGAGGACACCACACCAGCTCTTGGCTGAGCCTCTCAAGGTGAACCTTGAGCCGGGACAGAGCTGTAGGGACCAACTCTACGAGCATGGAGGAAGGCTTGGAAACGTGTGCTAAGGACCTCTACTGTAGAAGGAACTTCACTTAATGTTGTGAAGTGCTTGGTTCCGACTCAGAGACCCTGCAGAGGGTTTCTGAGGAGCAGCCAGTGTGTTTGAACTTCCGACCTGTGGTTAGCAGTCCAGTGCTTATCCTGTTGTTGTTGTTAAGTGCCGTCGAGTCAGTTCCGACCCATAGCGACCCTGTACAGGGTTTCCAAGGGTGTAAATCTTTACGGGAGTAGAAAGCCTCATCTTTCTCCCGCGGAGTGGCTGGTAGTTTCGAACTGCTGACCTTAAGGTTCGCAGTCCGATTCATAACCACTAAGCTACCAGAGCTCCTTAGTGCTTATCCTACAGCGCCCCAATGTCTGTAGTTTATCTCAGTATACGGTTGTAGTTTCATCATTTAAAACCTGTGAAAGAACTCCGATCAGATAAGACAAAATCTTTGGCCTGTAATCTTCTCTCATTCCTTCCAACTCCCCAGTGTAAACTTCCAAGACTCTAGCTATGAACACTTGACACTACATTTGTACTAAGACTTTCCTTTTGAATTCACCCCAATGAAAGTTTCAACAATGGAGTTCCACAAATGTAATCGCTAATCCTCAAATTCCTAACCGACAAGAATCTGTATGTTTGAAACTTAAATCATCTCATGCATTCATTGTAGATTTCACTCAGGTAGACAGCAAAAAGGCCAAACAGTTTTCAAGTAAGTGACTTTATTTCTCTCTGATATTTCACAGTCAGTTTCTACAAAACTTCACACTTCTCAGAAGAATTCACATTTGGTAAATAAATCTCTACCCTACAGAGTCCATGCCTGGAAAAACACTTCAGTATCTGCACGAGAGTTATTTTTCTGCTGAAGGAACCACAGTAGAGCAGAAACATGAGACAATACTATAATCAACAAAAAGCAAAGAGTGTAATAAGTTATAAATGTCATTAAACTCCATTCCCATAGCTGATTCATCAAGTAGCTCTTTCTAGATGTGCTTCAACACTGCCAACAAAATCTGCCAAACGTTCTCTTCAGAATTGGTCTAAGAATGGCTTCTCACTTTCAGGAAGTACTACCACAGTACTTTATACCAGATCAAATCATGCATGCCAAGACCACCGTTACTACTTACAGCCTTGTGCAAACAATGGAGATCTTTCTGGTCAACTCCAAGGTGCCTCCAACTGCTGATCTGGCTTCTGGTCTGGGTGGATCCTTTCTTCCAAGATCTATCTTCTCTTCATCTGCTTACTAAGAAAGGAACACCCATGCTAACAAGCCCAGAGAAGCTTCCAGCTCTAGTTGCAAGATCAGAGAAGAGTGGGGGGGTGGGGGGTGGTAGTGCTGCCTCTCCCTGCCACTCAGCAGTGAGGATCGATGATGGCTTTCAGCATCATTCACCATGACAGGAAGGGAAATGCAAGCCTGAATTTAGGAAGAAGAGTCCAAGAGATGTACAGCTCCACAGAGGATTTTGCCAGTGGAATAAATTTGATCTCAGCAAGTGTTTTCCGATTTTTGACACTCAGGAAGACTCATGACTGGTGCCCAGGCTGTTCTGAATGCACCTGTCTCTCTACAGCTTTGCTGCCAAACATATTCTGCCAAAAAGGAAGCTTCCTAGCATGGTGCAGAGCCTCGAGCTGCTAGAGTGCCACACTGATTCAGGGGAGGTAAAGGGAGTGGGCCAGAAGGATTCAAAGGAGCCGAGTCTGCTGGAAGACGCATTTGCTCACATTTTCACATTTCTTTTAGAAAGCAAATGGCAGGTCATATTTCTCCTCTGATCCCAGAGGAGCTGTAGGATCAGGACTGTACTACTAAGCACAGAGTTGGCCATTCAAACCTACCAGCCACTCTGTGAGAGGATGATGAGGCTGTCTGTTCCCATAAAGACCAACAGTCTCAGAAACCCTATACAGGGTCGCTATGAGTCTGATTCAACTCAATGGCCATGGGTTTGGTTTTTTGGGTATTTCTAAATCAGTTGTATCCAAGTCATAGAGATTTGAGAATACAGTGTAGGCAATCTAAAATGTTATCATTTTAAAATTAGGTTAGAGGTTAGAGCTATAACCACCTAATAAATATGATGAATCCCTGGGTGGTATAAAGGCTCATGCACTCGACAGCTACACAAAAGGGTGGAGGTTAGAGTCTACTCAGAGGCACCTATGAACAAAGGCCTGGTAATCTACTGCCAAAAACTCAGTCACTGAAATCCTTACCAAGCACAGTTCTACTCTGACACACGTGGGCCACCATGAGTCACTCACTGACAACTGGTTAGTAAACATGATCATTAGCTTCTGGCCTTGGTAGAACTTCAAGAACATTGTCCTTACAGGAAAGATGAAATGGGTCACATTGAACTTCTTACTAATTTGTAAAGTACAAAGATCCTCAAGAGGATGCAGTTTTTTTAAATGAGAGGGTAACAAAACAAAGTTTGAAATTTTACTACTTAGAAATCTAGTTTACCTATACAATGAAGCCGCAAAGAAGGCATTTTATCATCTGGAAATTTTCATCACATTTCTAGGTGAACTTTTTTAATAACCAGCATTAACCTTTGAGCTTTGTTGCCAATATCCAACATATAAGAGAGAGAGTTCCCCACTCATCCCATGTCACTCTGTCATGGGAACACAAAACAACTTTGGATCTGAAAAGAAAGTAGGCAAGAAGCATGTTTTCCAGTTTGTTGTAGCCTTCTATACCAGAGTCACAGGATGGTTTGGTTGAATTCAAAGTTTAGCAAATGTAATGATCACTTCTTCCCTTTTTTAGTATAAAAAAAGGAAGGAAAAAAGGTGGTAGAAATCATTGAAGTTACCCTAAAGGTTTTAGCCAAAAAACCAGGTTGCACTGTTTCAAATGAAGGAAAAAAAGCATAAATCACCGAGAACCTTCCACCTTCTGACCAAGAGATGCTGGACAGTCTACTTTCTTCAGATTCCAAGTAAAACATAAGCAAGCAAGCAAACAAACAAACCAACAAGCTATCAAATAAAATTGCAGGTAGCACTAAATCCATTCTTTCTACCCCTTAAAAACTGGAAGTATTTTGCCTCTCAGTTTAAGTGAAATCTAGTTTGTGATTAGAGTGTGTGAGCTGATTGTGCTACCCTCCTCACTTGACTTTCAAGTTTGAGGAAACTAAGTCGTAAGTGGGAAGCTGCTTGTACCACCTCTGCCCAAAGCGCTTTACGTTTCGCTCAACTGGCGCGATGCTTTGTGGAGTGTGAACACTCCTTCTCTGGCTTTTCTCTGAGACTAAGGGACCCAAGGGAAGACTCATGACGGTATCCTCACATGCCCTACACCCTGGTTCGACAGGCATCACACTGTGTGCCCATCCATGTCACTGCACCCTTCATCCAGCAGTGAGTGGGATGGCGGCAGGTGACAGCTAGTCATCTCGCCTGCCCTGTCCCTCGATCTACTTCAGTGCCTGCAGGCTAAAGAAGTGGAAGCCCTCGGGGGAGCAGAGGCAGATGGAATCTGTGCACAGACCACAGGTGAAGACAGCAGTCAAGTATTGGCATGTGGCTTCATCCGTGAACTGCTAAACATTTTAAATTTAGAAGGAAAAACTCTTACATAAGCTTTGGGAAACAGGAGTGGATAACAGCAAGAGTTCAAAGAACAGCTCAAGTAACAGGAAAATATGTCTTCGGTGCTAGACATCTGGGTGGTCAGAGAAAGTGTCTAGGTCACTGGCAGCTTGACTGGCCCCGGATGTTAAAGATGCCTGTAGCTTGGCCCAGGCCTGAGGAGCTCTGCTCTTGGTAGCCTCTATAAACAGCTGGGTTTGCTCCTTAAGCTGGTCTAGTTCCACCTGAGTTGCCTGGTTTTGCCGAATCAACTCCTTGGTTTTCAAAGTGATCTCCAGCAAACCGGATTTATGTAGCACTACCAAGGTATTCTGAAAGCGTCTGTGTTTGCTCTGCCGCTGCTCGGTGAAGAGCTCTGGGCTGCGGCAGAGGTGCTCGGCGGCCCACAGTGGAGAGCTGTAATTAGCTGACCGAGGGGACAGGGGAGAGCTGCTCTCCAGCCCATGCAGGGTGCTGTCTGAGGCACAGACAGGACTGGCAGGGGAAGTAAAGGTCAGCCTGGGAGCTTTAGCCACATGGCTGCTGGATACTGGCTGAAGAGTCTGTGGACTCCCACCTGCCACCTGGGAGGGGACACCCTGCAGAGATGAGTCCTCGGCAAGTTTGGCGCTGGAGGGTGCTGGAGGTGAGGGACTGGACGGCACAGCACCAGGCTTGGCTGACTCACTTGAAGACACGCTCGGCCCGAGTCTTTCAGTACAGCTCTTCTTCGGCATCCTGCTCTCCCCTTGTTCTTCTGGGCCCAGGGCAATGCTCCTTTTGCCTGGATGTGGGGCTATTTTGGTATAAGAATTTAGAATGGGCAGGTAGTTCCTGGAGTCTGACTTTTTCTCCCCAGCGTGACCTGGGCTGATGGGAGAGGGTACCGGCGGGTGAAGGAACAAGAGCTGGGGCTGTGCTGTGATCACTTCAAACGAGGGCTGGACTGTCCAGGACTGGAGCTGGGATGAGCTGCTGCCCTGAAAAGAGGAAGAAAACACACTACTCGTTACCTTCTCAAAGGACACAAGCATCTGCTGAAGGGCAAGGCAGACATGCAGGCGTTCATAACCATTTCTTTCACATTCAGGGTAGCCCTTGTCAAGAAAAGGCTTGAACTACCCCTTCTGTACACAGGGTTGATAGTGATGGGCAACTTAGGCACTAGCTACCTAAAATGGGGGGGCAGGGGCACTTAAGCACAAATTGGCTACCTTATAAATTTTCAGAAGGGAGTTTAGTTTCAGAGCATGGGGGGAGATAGAATCCCCACTGAATCGTCTTCATCTTGTCTAGACGGGTCTGGTGAAAGGAGACAGGGATAGAATTCTTTTGATTCAATAGTAATTGCAATTGTCACAATTATAAAGGTAGAAGCTGTGTAACAAAAAGGGGGAGTAGTTAATCCAGGAACAGAGGACCCTAGGACCATCAAGAGGGAAGAGCAGGAATAGAATGTGGGATCCTAACCAGAGAAGCAGTGACACCAGAGATGGAGGCAGAGATGGGGACATGGAAAAATAGAACAGATGAGGACTCTGGACTCATAGAAAGAGAAAGGCTGTGCCAGGAGGCAGGCCTGCAGAATGTGTCCTTTGGTTGTTTAAATGACTGTGCACATGAAGGGAGAAAGGGGAGGGAATAGAGGCAAACACTGCTGGCTGACGGTGCATGGAGGGATTGTACTCATTGTAATGAAGCAAAGTGCGATTGGTTGAGTGCAAAACCGATTTTCTGCCATGTAAACTATCACGTAGTTCATAGTAAATGCTTTAAGAAAAAAAAAAAATTGAAAAAGAACAGACTTGGAGAAATGGCTTCAAAATCCACTGGGATTTGTAGGACAAACTTTTTTTTTTTAATTTACCTTTCTACCCTTGGAAACCCTGTACAGGGTCGCTATGGGTCGGACCCGACTCGATGGCACTTAACAACAACAACAACAACAATGGGACAATTAAAGGAGCTCTGGTAGCGTAGTGGTTACGAATCGGGCTGCGAACCTTAAGGTCAGCGGTTCGAAACTACCAGTTGCTCCGCGGGAGAAAGATGAGGCTTTCTACTCCCGTAAAGATTTACACCCTCGGAAACCCTGTACAGGGTCGCTATGGGTTGGACCCGACTCGATG